CAAGAATGGATTATCTGCAAATGGGCAAAGCTCCAAAGTCTGTTTGTGACCCTGCAGTGTCCAGGGTGCGATGCTGAGCCTCGCTGTCCTCAAGAGAAGCGAAACGTGTGGCTGGGTTTGTAGAAAGGAGCTGCTGAAAGAGATGCTCCAGCTTTCTTTTCTCTCATGCTCTGGCTGGATACTCCCATCTGCAGTGATGATGTTACTGCTTCAGTCTCAGCCTGACAGGCCCTAGAAGGGAAGGACCAGAGCAACTTCTCTGTGACACTTGGAAAATTTTGACCCAGAGTAGTGATGGCTCCTGGCTGTACCAAGTTGTTTGGACTCAAAGTTGAATGAAATGTTCAACAAGTACACTTCTTAATGAGGTATGTCCTGACAGTGTATGCAAAGCTCAACTGATTCAAGTCATTTGAGTGCCTTCCATTGTGCTAGGTTTGTTTTCCTGTGGAAACTCACTCACCAGAGCTACTACAATGTGTTTATTTTATTTCTGCAAATAAGGGTGATGTAAAGGCTCGGTTTGAAGAAGAAATAAAAGCAAAAATACAAATAAAATAAACTCCAAGATTCTAGATTTACATAGCAATTTCATTTGTCTCAAGTCTCAGGCTGTACTTTCTTCAGAGCACTATCAGGAATGACCATAACATAGAGAGTCATTCACCCAGGACTGCATTCACCATGCCAAGTGCTACATGAGTACAGTATTTTGCTGCTACATCATGAGTTGACATACAGAACAATTAAGCATCTGGATGAATGTAGGGGAGAAATTATCTTCTTTTCAACTCCAACCTTTTCTTTGCATTAAAAGTAGACTGAAAATGCTATTTCTCTAACATTTGCATGGGAATACATTTATCGATATGCCTCCAGATTTTTTTTATCTCGTTATTCATATCTTGGTGCAGAAGACTACATAGACTTGCCAAGGTTCTTTCTCGTGTATTTGCTACATGTAAAACCAAGGCAACAGTTCTAAAATATACTATCTATTCTTTAATCTCTGTTTTATGTGTCAGACAAATAACAACACTTATCTTTAAGGGCAGACAGAGAGTTAAACTGAACCAAAACAGCACTTGACTCATTGTGGGGATTTTTTGGTGCATTTTTTTTATTGTTGGTAGGCTTCAGGGAAGACTCAAAAGTCTTTCTAAATGTTGAATCTGAATATTTAATTCTAAGGCATTTTTAGTTGAAGCAAATTTAGTCATTCAGAAATTCAACATCCATCATAGAGGTATTTCCAGCTCTGCAGTTGTACATCAGTGTCACTGTTCACTTACCGTGCCCATACTTTTCCAGCTTGTCCATAGGAAGGTTGTAGGAGATCATGCCAAAAGTCTTTAGGTCAAGGCACACAACATTCCCTGCTCTCCCTGCTGCACAAAGCAGGTCCAGTCACTGCCTTGGTTACACAGTCACTGCTGAAGCCCATGTTATCACTAGTGAGAGTGCTACAGTGACAGCATGAAACACCAAAAAACCCTCACAGAAGTAAACTCAGTTAATTTTCTGTAGTGCACAATTTCTCGCACTTAAAATGTGCTCCTTGTCTTCCCCAGAAAACACTTTTCTTTTTCTGGATGATATCCAAAGCTGGTATGCCTTGTTGAAGGCATGTGACTTGGTCTGTGTCTCACTGTGCAGGGGCACCAAGCAGCCACTTGGATCTGCAGTCTGCTCCAGAACAACCTCCCTTCCTCAACTTTTCATGTCAGTAAAAAGCACAATTTGATGCACATTGCTCTGAGCAGTTTCAGTCATGAGATTTTCATAATAAGAATCTTTGCCTACCTATTTTTTTTGAGAAAAATCTCATTATGAGTGCCCAAACACAGAGAAGTCATCAGTTTACATCAGGCCAAAAAAGTCACATAAGAGCAACTCCCATGTGTGGATATGTAGTTGGAAACTTCTAGATTTGGGGCTTCTTGTTTTCCTAAAAAAAGATGAACATTTTCCTAAGCTGCTCCCTTCCACTTGTCACCCCAAAAACAAACCCCTACGGCATTCATTCCTTTTCCCCCGTTTCTTCCAAGAGTGGATGAAGAAAGGTCATTGTGATACTTTCTCTGCTGTGAGTTTGCCGTGTGACCTCTTGACAAGGAAATCTTAGGAGCAAATCCCTGACTGGTCCTGTCCTTCTGGAAGACTTCCAATTCTTGGAGAACACAGGCCAATATCATTATATTGTATCTCCTGCAGTGAATTTTCTTTCCCTAATTTTTCCATCAAGCTGCTGATTAGCAGCCTGTTCCTCATAAAAATATCCAAGAGCAGCGGGGACAACGAGCTAAGAAATAATTGGTGTGGAATGCCCTGACCTCCAGCTCTGACAGCTCCTTGCTCCCAAACAGGTCAATCCACAGGGCCATGGATGAATTAGAAGGGGCACCACTCTTGCCAGCAACACTAAATTTGTTAGAACCTTTTTCCTTTAGTTGGTATTAAGGGGTTTTGGCTAGCTTTTTGGTTTTGGTTTGGTTTTTTGTTTTATTTTGTTTTGGGGTTTTTTTGAGGAAGACAATAGCTTAATACTGGTATATGTAAAGAAAAGAAAATAAAGAGACAAGTACCACAAAAAAATGCATGCAGTTTTTTTCTGCTGCTGTGATTTAACCTTGGCCAGCAACTAAGCCTCCCAACAGCCAGTTGCTTATTAACTACTTCCCCAGGTGGGATTGAGCAGAGAATTGGAAGGGTAAAAACAAGAAAATTTTTGAGTTGAGAAGATGACAGTTTAATAGTAAAACAAAGTTGCATGTATAGAAAAGCAAAACAAGGAATTCATTCTCTACCTTCTATCAGCAAGCAGGTGTTCAGCCATCTCCAGGAAAGCAGGAATCCATCAGGCATAACAGCGGCTTGGGAAGACAAATGCCATAATGCCAAATGTCTCCCAGGGTGTGCTGCATGCTGATTAACAGCTGAAGAGCAGTCATGGCTACAAATTCACATCTAGCACATTCCCACCAAATTTGTCATCATCATTTACTGAACACACCAGCAAGAAGGCCGGTGTTCAGTGAGAGGAAGGAAAGACACTCTTGTCTGCTCTGGGAGTTGCCCAGAAGCCTGTGCTGAAACTCTGACTCCAGAATGCTCAGGTTGTTGTATGCTCCCTTCTGCAGAAAGATTTGGGATGGTTTTGAGAGTAAATAGAACAAAGAGTAGGGGTAAGACTGGTTACAGAACCCAGTGGACTCTGGTATATGAATCTGATCTCTTTTACCCTCATAGAGGAAAGAGAGATCCTGACCTGTTTGAATGAAACTGTAACAAAAGCTGTGAGATATTTTTCCTTCTAGATGGAGACCTGACCAATCTGAAGAAAAGCTAAAGAAACACAGGAGATGGAGCTCACAAAGAATGTGTCCTAAATACCATGGACACAGGTGGCTGTGGCAGACCTAGGTTACATCTTTGTTGGTATCTCTGAAACTGTGGGCTGCCCTGGAGCCTGTGAGGAGAGGGAGATGATCCTCTCTGTGTGGTCCCTTTGTATATAAAACACGCTGTGAGAGCCAAGCCAAGTTGTGGATGGTCTGAGCCCAGAGCGAGCCTGCAAGCAGAGAAGCTCTGAGCATGGAGGTTTGCAGGGGCAGGTGCTCAGAGCTGCTCAGCTGCTGCAGAGAGGAGATGGAGCTGAGCACAAATTGTGGGCACACAGCTGATGAGAACTGTGGAAACTCAGACACCAGGACAGCTTCAAGTATCAGCTAAAGTCCGTGTGGTTTTCTGCTTGCTGGCCTCCAGGTAGTTAGGTTACCATAAAGAATTAGCAGTATTTTTTTTTTTTTTTAGCTTCTGAATTGTTTATTCTTCTACCTCTTATCTCTGGGTGCATTCACACTCTGCAGTGTGTCAGCTCTGCAGAATGCAAACTCTGCTGTGACCAAACAGCTCCACGTGTCAACAGATGGACAGAATGGAACTGGGTCTGTAAATGTGAAAGGAGCAGTTGCATTGTGCTGTGCCAGCAGAATCACTATCTGCATCCTGCTGGTGTCCTGCAGAAACCTCCTCAGGCAGGGATTTACACCAGTTTATTGGCTGCACCAGGAAAGGGTGAGAGGCAGCAGGGCAGTGGTAGAAAAGCTGCACAGGAGAGGGAGTGCAGTGACACAGCATTTCCTCTGAGATATAAAGCTGGATAACTACTGCATAGGTTACTGTGCTGAGACTGAAAAGCAGGATTTTTTGATCATTGATGTTTAAATGAGAGTTTTGGCCCTGATTCCTTCAGTAGCTGATTCAGATGTGAAATAAGGCTCACAAAGTTTGAGAGATGGGATCAGGCCTGGGTAGATGCAGTGAAAGAACTACAAAGATCTAGGTCGTGTTCCAGCTTTGACTTCGCTGGTCTCTGCCCTCTCCTCTTCCTTGCATTTGTCATGCAAACTAACTCAGACAAGTATTCTTCCATGGTTCAGAGGCTTAGCAAAGGCAATATGTCATCAGGTGAACAATAAAACTCAAAACTTCCCTTGTGACAGGACCAGTAAGGTGTGTTTAAAGAAATTAACATTCAAGAGCTATGTTCTGTGGGCTGCAGCTCTCTGGATTATGCAAAGAGATAAATTAGTGTGAGCCTTAGATCTTAGGATTGGAATAATCAAGTAGCACAGAAATAACTGCTCAAGCTCAAAAATATTCTCTCCTTTATTTTTGTTTTTGTAGCTGGTGGTGAAACACTCCAAAATTTTTATAGCAAAAATGAGAGTTGCTCAAATTTATCTTCAGTGCTGTGTGGTCATCTGCTCAATTATTACACACAAACATTTTTCTTGATTTATTTTATCCTAGAAGACGTGCTACTTCAATAGTAGGATACAATGTATCTGAAATGGAATTATTTTATACAACATGAGTTAATTTCCAATTGCATATATTTTCGATTTGACCTTATACAAAAAGACTGGTACTTGCATGCATGATAACAGCACCTGTAGTTGCACTCGAGAGAGAATGGAAGACAGAGCTGACAGGGGTAGGGAGGATCCAGCTTGCATGCTGCGCTTCTACACAATTACACTGGCTGCACTGCACTGCACTGCATTGCTTCCTTCTTCTGAGAGCTCTGGTACTGCTGAGTTCTCACTGCAGGCTACATAAGTGACACATAAGAGGACTTTCTTTCATCTCTGTTCAAGCCCAGATACTCTGCAGGTGGAAGCTTTCTTGGTTCGCACCAGTTTCACATTGTCCTAGGAAACAAGGCACCAACATTGTAAGCATGAGGACAAGGCTGTTGTGGGAATGTAATTTTGGTTCCTAGGAGTGTAAAACCAGAACTCTCTTTTATTTGTTAGAGAAACACAATACCATAAGGCTTCATGTCCGTGGTCTCACATGAGCATGACCAGAGCTGGCCATGCTCCAGCCAGCACCCAAAGCAGAGCTGCCAAGAGCCTTGGCACAGAGTGGAGCTGAAGTGTGACTCAAAGACAGTAGTTAGTTCTGCCTCTGTGGTGTTTGCAGAGGAAATCGGGGCAGCAACTGCACCTTGTGCCAGAGGCCAGCTTAGACAGACTAATCAGCCAAGCTGCCAGAAATCCCCAGCAGTTACAACAGCAGTAGACCTGTTCAGCTCTCATGCAATACTTCCTGCCTTTCTATACTGACCCTGCCTTCCCTGGCTTTCTTTATCTAGCACAAAAGAGATGAAAAGTCTGACTCTGAGCTCAGATGGGTATTTTGCTGCTTCTTTAATCTTCATAGCCTGGCAATTTTTATTCAGATCCCTCCATCAGGTGGGAAATCCCTACCCATTCCCTTTGTATTTTTTCTCTTGAATTATTTATGACAACAGGAAGAGTCAGGTATGGACTCCCCTCCCTCCCCCCCGCCCCAACTGAGCTGTCCCAGTCCTCAGACAAACCTCCATGAACATGTGTAGGACTGATAGATTTGTGACAGATTGAGGTGACCATGCATGACATGAATTAGTACCAGAAGTCCTTCTAAGCTTCTCTGGACTGGCCAAAGGAGTTTGTGTGTATTGTTTCCCATGCATACCTATTAAAGAAGGTGTAGAGCTGGAAAGCAGCCAGCAAGAAGAGGAGACTCGTAAGGCTGGTGAAGCTGATGACACAGGGAAGAAAGCATCCACTCTGCTCTAAAGAGAAACAGATGCTCTTTTAGGTACATCTCATAGACCCTGTTTCCCTTCTGCCTCTGTCAGGATGGCATCTCCTGGATAATGCCCTCTGCATGCTATACTTCAGAGGATGACCTAAGGCAGCTGGTTCCAGACACACAACTGGAAAGTTCCAGACACAACTGGAAAGAAACAACATCCCCCCATGTCCTTGATGGAGGAAGTTTGTCTTTTGCTGTACGGCCACTCCTGCCCACAGCATTGCTGCAGGTCCCGCATGTGCATCCCAGCAAATCTCAGCTCTGATTCTCTTCCAGGTAAGTATTTCACCCGATTACCTATGGTGGCACACAACATCAACTTCAGCTTCATCCCCTAAATCCTTCACCTACCAGCCAGTCTTGGGAAGCTGTAAGCTAGCTTTCAGTTTTCCTGTCACAACCTATGTGGAACCAAACAAATAGCAACGTGTAATGGCGCCACTGGATTACAATACATAGATCTGGGTGATCGTACCATTGGCAGCTTTGTTCGTCATGATTTTTTGAATTAATCTCACCTTTCCATTCAGCCCTGGAGGTGGGTGGCAAATCCACTGCATTCATCTCCTTTCCTACAATTTCACAAATGTCTTTACAGTTCCGACAGCACTTGGCTGCAATCCTGCCAGCACCACTCATGTTTGCTTGGTGCGTGAACAGAGGGCTGAATAGGGCTCTGAACACTGAACACACAAAGAGAAGCTCACCTGAGGGACAGCAGGCTATGGACTGGCTCCAGTTCCCAGCTGGGTGGGACACCATGCAGGTCGTCACATTGGTCACATTGCTGCTACACGCTGTGAACTTGCTGAGAACAGTCACTGTCCCGTTGTCGTGGCATTTCTTGTCTGCACTGGAGCTGCTGTCTGGCACCCACGAGAGCTGAGCCGGCGGCTTCCCTGCCGCTGCCTCGCACACGGGGCTGCCCTGCTCATCACAGTACAGGCTCAGCCTCGGGGGGGCTGCAAAGCACCAGCAAGGGGAGACGCACAGAGTTAGCTTGGCACAGCTGGGCTGGGCTGTTCTTGTTCTCCACCCAAAATGAACCCAGTGAAAAAAGGAGAGCAATTTGGAGGTGCTATCTCATCCCATCCCATCCCATCCCATCCCATCCCATCCCATCCCATCCCATCCCATCCCGCCCCATCCTATTGCAGCAATGTGGGCCCAAAGCACAAGAGACCAAGAACAGGTCTCTTTTTCACAATTCTTTCACAATTTCTCTTTTGCACAATTCTCTCCCACACTGGTGAGCCTTATCACAGCCATTTACATCCTCTGTGTGTACATGGGAAATTTCTTTACACTTGTCATTTCTAACTAATGGGAAAGGAAACAGAAGGAAGAGAAGGAGTTCAGCTACTATCAATGAAATGCTGAGTGTATCCCAGCAAGAAGTACAGAATTGTCGAGAGCTGAGAAAGAGACAGGGACTACTGATTAGTGATCAGAATCTGAATTTACTGTGAGCTACATATGCTTACATATTATTTTTAGAAAGGCTAGTAAGTTTTTACTACATTCATTGGGTTAAACATCACACAGACAAACTTAACATTTCTATTTGATTCAACCTCCTTTCCTGTCACCAGTCCTGATCCAATCTTCTTGTAATCTTCAAAGCTCTGTTTGTTCTTATCAAGGCATCTTGGTTATCAAACAGCATATGCTAATTAAATCCACAGTATTCTCTGTCTTAGCTCCCACACAGAATGGCTTAGGTTAAGAGAATTTTAAGGATCCTCTAAAGATCCTCTAGCTCCAGCCTCACTGTCATGGGCAGGGACACCTTCTACCACCACCCATCCAGCCTTGCCTTTAACACTTTAAGCATCCACAGGTTCTCTGGGCAACCCATTCCAATGCCTCACTACCCTCAAAGAAAAAGAAAAAATAAAAAACTCCATTTCTTACTGCACGTTTCCCCTGCTGCATGGGGAGAGGAGCTTTGTATGTCCAGGCCTAGACATGGTCCTTTTGATAACTGTAAAAGGAAAAAGGAGTGCCGTACCCAGCACAGTCAGATTGTATGTCCTGCGGAAATTCCCATCTGTGGATGCTGCTTCGCAGAGGTAATTTCCCTCCTGGGCTATTTCCACTTGCTTTATCTCAAGGGCAGGAGCCAGACCTGCTCCTGAATGTCCAGTTTATGTTGTCACTGCAGTTTGTTCTGTGTGTCATGTTTGTATCAATCCTGTATACCAAGGTACAAGGGCCTCCAGCCTTGGGGGTTATTGTCCATGTTAGCATACTTATTTGTCCTTTGATAAAGCAGGTGAGTACTGAGCTGTCACCCACAGTCACTGACACTCTGTTGTTCCCTGAAGGAGAGAAAGAACGAGAAGACCATGTGAGACGCTGTCCAGGGATGTCACTCATGGCCTTGGAGCTCTGGTCTGTAGTTGACAGAGAAACGTCTCCACAGGGACACTGGCCAGCATGAGGACATGTCTGTGCCAGCCAAGAGCTGTGATTCTCTCCTTAGGCAGTAATACATCTCCAGTTTCATGGCTGTGATCAAATACACTGAGCCTTATTTTCACTCCCTCCCTCTGATAAGTCCTCTCCCTGGGGCAATGGACATGACTGGCAAGAAGAGTCTGAATGAACTGCAGAGCCCATCTCTCTAACAAAACTAAAAACTAACAAAACTAACTTTTGTACTAACAAAAGCAAACTAGAAAAACAACCACGAATTTGCATAATTAAGGTAGATTAAGGAGGGAAAAGATTATAGCTTCATTCTCACATCCCATATTTTTGGAATTTGCTCTTCTAAGTCTTACTGAAACTTTCATTCTGAACCTAGTGTTTTACAATCCCATTATACTTCACTTGTCAGGACTGAAACCTAAGAGTAGAGCTTGACAGGGTAAGCACACTGATCATAAAACCTCCCATCAATCATGTTTTTAATACAAAATATTATACTCCAACAAAATCATTACCAGTTTTCATCAAAGCATTAAAAAAGTCCAAGCTCAGCACCTCATTGCTTGATATCTGAAAGACTGAAAACATCTATTTGCAGCAAGAAATGTTCTGATTTGCAGGTTATTGGTTTTCCACCCAAAAGTCCCTTCAGCAATTTGTAAAGATCCCTTCTACCAGACTTTTTTTTGCCAAAGAAGGGCTGAGTACATATCACTCTGATACCTTGCCTTTTCCTTCCCTGCCCTTAACAACGAGGTGGTGCCAAAGTACCATCAGAAGCACCTGCAGCTCCTGTGACTGCAGTGATGGTAAGAAGGACAATGGTGCAAATGCTCTTCCTGACAACTTTCAAAATAGCTCTTGTTTTCGTGGGTGAGAAGGATTTCTTGCACCCTCCATCTTGCTGTGAGGTCCCCAACGTTCCCTGACAGTGATCCTGAAGAGTCACTGCTCTTCCTCTGCTCCTGAGAGCCCCACAGTGCAGTTATGAAGAGCTGGTTCTTCTTCCTAGCTTGAGGCTTTCTCTGATGAGACTTGGTGAGGAGAGAGGAAGTGGTATTTGTATTTGCTCTCTGCCCAGTGGCCTTCCGGCCCACTGTCCCCAGTGTTACTCTGAGAAGACAAAGCCTACAGCAGAACTTGAACAAAGCCTAACCAGTGGGATTTTTCATGTTTGGCTTGGATCTCACTGTTAACAACATTTTTAACACAAGGCTGTCATCTACATCTGGCAGGATTATCGGTACAGATCAATTATGACATCTGGCAGCTCGAGCTAGGGACTTTAAAAGAATCCCCTGGGCAATTATACCCTTACAATCTGATTCCTCATCCCTCACATGACAGTCTGGACCCACAGCAATATTAAGGTCTGGCATCTTCTCACTCTTCACTAGCTCTCTTTTCCATTACCAAAGTGGTTGCTACATGGTCACCTTCACATCCTCCTAGATCAGTTTCAGTGGGGATTTGGGTTGGCCCCATAGTCCTTGTTGTAAGATGGTGGTTACAGTTCACAGCACAGAATCATGGAACCAATTAGGTTGTGTCTTGGGGTGACTGTATGATGCCTATATCCCAAATCGTCTGTTCTGTTGGTGTTGAATATTAAATTCTGCAACTTTAAGACTGGTTCCAGGAGTGAAAGGGCAGAGGGGGGAAGAAGAAGTGCAGAGTTTGTTATCAGAGACTGCACGGGCTCCCCCGCATTCCTGCTCTCAGACTGTGTTGTCTGCGGTGGACAGCGAGAGAAAGCTCTCCTTTGCTCTTGGTTAGTTTTTTGGCTAGCTGAGGCAGAGAAGCCCCCTGAATTGTTTTTTTTGTTGGTTTTTTTTTTCCATTTTTTTTTCTTCTATTTTCCTGGAACTGTTTGAACCTGCTTTGGACTGAAAACCCAGAAAAGCACCGGGAGCTCACACCTGTGGCCCACCGGGCCTGGCCTGGGCCGCAGCATTCCCCAGCACCAGAGGGACTGAGAACAGACTGAGTGAGCTGGGCAGCCCACGGAAAGAACTCTTCTAAATCTGCCGTCTCTTCGGAACAGCAAGATGTTTTGCTGTTTGATATTGTTCATTGTTGCGCTGGGAAGTGTGTTGCCTGTTGAATAAACAGTTCTTTTTTTCCACTTCTCTCCAATTTTTTTCCTTTTTCCCGAGAAACCTCATTCAGAGGTTTCCTCCCAAATTTGCCCTAAACCAGGACAGGTTGGAAAATATTTCCAATATCAGTGAGTCCAACCTGTGACTGATTACCACCTTGTCAGCTACACCATGGCACTGACTGCCATGTCCAGTGGTTTCTTCACCGCCTCCCTGGACAGCCCAATTCAATGTCTAATCACCCTTTCTGTGAAGAAATTCTTAGTGATGTCTAACCTGAACCTCCTGTGGCACAGCTTGAGGCTATGTCCTCTTGTCCTACGGCTTACTGCCTGGGAGAAGAGGCCAATCCCCAACTGGCTACACCCTCCTTTCACATAGTTAAAGATAGTGAAAAGGTCACCTCCCAGTGTTTTCTTCTCCAGGCTAAACAACCCCAGCTCTTTCAGCCACTCCTCACAGGACTTACTCTCCAGACCCTTCACCAGCTTCACTGCCCAGCTCTGGACACACTCCAGCACCCGATCCATGGGCTGGCCACTCCTGCTATTAATATTAAAGTAATATTTAAGCTCCTAGGTTTACCTGTCATAACGATCATGAATATTCAGATTATTATCTCTAAGTTTCACTACAATCCATCTTTGATTTACACAACATATTTGTATAGTTCAGATAAAGCTCAGTTTGCAGCTGACGACTCTAAATGTTTATTTCAAGCAAACACCTATTTCAAATAACAAAATTTTCAACCCTCACAGTAAGAATTTTATCATCAGGAATTAGGGGAAGGATATTTTTAATTAAACACTTAAAGGATGTTAAACATATTAAAAGCAAAGTCACTTGAAAAAATTCCTCATTCTGCCCACTCTGTCCTTCCCCACATGTATAATAGACACAGACATTTTCTCTAAAAGGCACGGGCAATCACTTCTCCCCTACAGGGAGGGAGGGTAGCTAGGTATGATGTACATTTATATTACAGCTCCTTTCCTCTGAAAACAGTACAGCTACAGTTAAGCCAAGGCTGCTTTTTTTTGCACCACTGTTTTGTTTCTCAATATATTCTGGTCCTATATTCCCCCACATACACACACAAGTGAGCCTCGAGCTGTGGGATTTTGTGTAGAGACAGAAGAGTGCCTTAATTTATGCAAGATCCCTAAAGGCCTTTCCCTAAACTACTACTGCCTGTCTTCCTATGTGATTGAGACTCCTGCCTTATATCAGCAGATAGCTTTCCTAGATGTTAGATTAATCTCCCTGGAAATTAATATACTGAATGTAATTTTATCAGAAAAATATTCGCCTCCCCACACTCTGAAGCCACCAAGCTGAAATGAATTGATGATTATTTGACTGTTCTAAGAATAGAACTCTCCCGCTACAATTACGATCAGAGCAGACGTATGTATTTACATGGCTATGTGAAATGTGGTTGCAAGGGCTTCCATTTTGTGGCCAAATAGATGCAAGACACCCATGACTGGAGGGATTACTGGCAGGCAGACAGCCATTGCTTCCTTCACCCCACTCTTCACCCAAACAGTGGGTGTTATTTAACTGAGAGGAGACATAGCATCCATAAATGACTCCAAGAAAAAGCTGGGTGAGCCCAAAGAGAAAGTTAGGCAACCTCTGTTTACGCTTCTTATGAAAAGACAACAGCAGCAATATAATGAAACCCTCATCTCTGATGTCTTGTTGCTTCAGTTATACTTTCAAAAAAGTCATTCTGTCAATTAATCTCAGATAGCAACCAGCACCTTGGTCAACACAGCTTCTGCTTTAGCGCTATGTGGTTTAGCAGTGAAGTGCAACAACCATTACTCATTACTCATTTCAAGGCAGGTCCAAGATGCAAAGATCACATGAAGATCCCTGTGATGTGAGATATACCATCATTTCAACCAGTCTGTGGGTGAGGTAGTTCAGAACTGAATGGCAGAGGCAGCATGAAATAATTAATAACTCATGAATAATGAATAATTAATGAAAATCAGAAGATTTCAGGGTTCTAATCACTGGAGGTTTAATCAGAAGCAACAGACTCAGGCACCTGGAGAATGTAGGATCATTTTAGAAATTAAGGCAGGAAAACTGATAAAGGGAGAGAATTCCCTACAGTATGGGATGTGACCAAGTCCAGTTACTTTGGGGAAAGGCCTAATGGTTTTGGGTCTGGGGCTTTTTGCTAAAGATTCTGCCTTATCTCTGATATTCAAATTGATGGCTGGAAAATCATGTTGGTATTTCTTTAATTAACCTTTTGGGATTTGAGTCTCTGGAATACAGTCTGACCACAACACAGCAACTTACAGCATGACTGTGGACAGGAGGCTGTTCATGGGTGATCTGGCAGGGGGAGGACTGGTGGGAGTTTTTTGGTTTTGGAAGCCCAAACTCTCAGTCCAACACTAAAACTGAAGCCAGACAGCATGACAGTATTGTGTCAAGAGAACCACTCCTGTGCCCCAGGCAGCGCATCCAAGCAGCTGTGCTGCTGGACCTGGTTGCTCTCCAACCACCTCCAGCAGAGCCCTGGAGCTGGTTTCAAGTGTCCTTTGATGTTAGATTGTTTCCATCTCAGCTCAGAAGGCTTCTGTGTTCTGAGACCCTGTTTTAGTTGAATTCATAGCTTACAATCACCATGAACAACTGCATGACATCCTGCTTCCTTTATGTTATTTCTGGCTCTGGATGTACACATCACACCTCTGTCAGAGTGACTTAGCCTTCCCCTGCACTCACCATAACAGATATGACAAATTCTGGTTTTAGCTACCCTCCTGGACACTTCAGAGCAAGCTGCTTATGGTCATTAGTGGTTCAGCCCCTGAGAATGTAGAGTTTTGCAAAGACTGGTTTCATGCTGCTGCTGCTGATGTTTCTGCTGCTACGAGGATTTTGTCAGGACCCATGTTATTAGCTGTGTTTTCTTCTCCATCTCCTGCTCAAAGCAAGAAACAGCATTCACTCTGAAAAGTTCTTTTTCTTTTTACTTAACGGTCAAAATCTCCAAAACATTTACCTTCCAGAGATGTTCACTGGTTTTTTTTTCCTAGCACTGATATTGTAAGTTTAGGTCCAGGAGAAAAAAAAAAACCATCAAATTTAACACAGATATCAAAAAGAGAATTTCAGTTCTGTAAAATCAATGGAAATGACTCTTCAGCTGTGATTAGTAGTGTTAACTGCCATATGAACAGTAATGATTGTCTCTCATTACTTTACTATAGAACCTTTAAAAAAACTTTTTCCACTAATATATATAATGAGTATTCTAATTTTTTAAATTATTTTTTGTTAATGTCTCAGAATATCCAGCCCTTGAGACATCTTTGGCCTTGAATTCCTTCTTGGGACTAGAGATGCTTCTCCCTGCCCCCAGTCACACAGTTTGCATAGAGGAAAATGCAGAGCTTCTTAGCATTTTATACAAATAATTTAGCCTTTAAAACTCCATACCCCAGTAACTCTAGTTCCTAAACCACCTTCTAAGAGAAACGAAGATAAGATGTACTTTAAGGGGAAGCACAGACTCAGACACAGTCAACAGTGCTGTTAATGTCACAAAAGAAAGCAGGCAGGCTGGTGTGTTCACCCTGTCCTTTCTAGCATGCTTCCTGGTGACAATATTTGGTGGAAATGAAACTCAAGACCTCAGCTGGTTTTGGTTCACAGGACCTGAACCAACTGTCCCAAATGCACCTCACTGCTCTTCCAGAACTCCATCTCCAGCTGGTCTCACAGCTACTCTTCTCACACAGATATCTAAAGGAATGATGGTTTGATCTGTCTCACAATGCTGAGATAGACAGGATCAGACCAGACAAGACAACTGGGGTTGCCACTTCCTTCCAGCTCCATGCTCTTGACTATTGTTTGGGATTTAGGTCAGTGTCAATGGTTACAGATCTCTCTTTCAAACTCCAGAGGAATGATTGTCAGAGTTTTTAATGTGGACTAAATTACTTTTGTAGTAATTCCCTAACATTTGAACTACATAACCAGCCACTGAAAAGAGACATCTGCTGCCACGGACATGAGCCATAGGCCATGTCAGTGTGAATGCCTGATGTTTGGCAATAATATGCACAAGAGAAAGGAGCCTTTCAGGGAAGATACAAAGCACGCTTAAATGCTGATAATTTACCAGCTCTGTCCACAGTAACCTGCCATTTTCCATCTCTGTTTGGTCTGCCCCAGAGAACATAGACTGCAGTTTGGTCCAAGAAAAAAAAAACAAACACTTTCTACTGAAATGCACAGTTCCAATCTCCAGGTTTTAGATGTGGTTTTACTGGATGCTCTTGTTTATCCCACCCTCTGCTACAATTAGAAGTATTCAAAAGGTCTTATACCACTTTAATTTGTTCCTGCTACCTATGTAGTCACATTAAAAAGAGAGACTGAATTAGTGGCTGAGACCCTGGCCAGTGAACTGGGCACCTCTGTTCCCATCATCACACCTACAGATGCAGTGTTAAATGGGATGATCAGTTTCTCTGCTGCCTTCCCTCCTGTGTCTGATTGGCTGTTCTGGGTGTAATGTGCTGCAAGAACGTGTGCCTGGCAGGGATAACTACTGCAGGGTAATTTGAAGCAGGCAAGTCTGCTTCCTGCAGCTGTGAGCTGTGTGGGACTGAGGCAAAAGCAACTTGTTCTTCTTCATGTGTCACAGTTTGGCATAGAAATGGGGAAATCTGCCTGCTAGTGTGGTTATGGACATGTCTCTCTCTGGCCAGTGTGTTTTTTCTGTTAATAGATTCACCACAGATTTCAATTCAATTATGTTGCTGCTTTAGTACCCTCAAAACAAGAATTAGCAGTGTCCCTGAGGTAATTCTCTTGAAAGGTTTTGCCTTTTGTTTCCTGCATTTATAAGTATTTGTGCCATAGGTAGTGACAGGAGAGAGGCCTGCCCTGTTGGTTCCAAACTGGTTTGGAGCCAAATAAAAGTCATCTGTAGATTTATTTGGGAGCATTCTTCTAAGTATGCATGTAGCATACTTAGAAGTGATTGTGATCTGTCCTGAGCTATGCACATTCCAGCTCTGTCTTGCTGTGAAAAAAAGCAGGTTTTAAGAGGACCTAATTTACAGGACTGAGGTAGAATACAAGGCTTTTCCCCGAGGTTTACACCATTAACCTCTCACTGTAACCACTTTCACTGATCAAAAATTTGAGAAGCAGCTTATGGATTTCAGTAGAAGTTTGTCTTACTACAAAATATTCAAAGCTATCTCTGAGAAATATGTATGCTGTTGGCTGCCCTTTTCTTAAGGGATCAAAGTTCTCTCCCTACAGCTTTGTAACTGAGCTCAATACAAAAAAGTAGGATATGGCTTCTGTTATCTTCTAACAGTCCTTCCTGGCCTTGAATCTACTCATTGTAATAATTAAACCATCCAGACTTACAGGGCTTTAAACAGAGGGCTGTGACTACAGAAGAAAAAGGGTCTCTGTCTCAAAGGAAAGACAGTGTTCCACAGGATGTCCAGGCTGGCTTGGATGAAAGGTTGAACATCAGGATACTTTCATGTATTACTTTTATAAAGATACTGATGAAATTTACTTATATTTGATGGTGTTAAAATCTTTGTACTTTGAAGATGACATGTTTCAAGGACATACATTTACTTCTGTGGTTTTACAGCTCTATGTACTGTAGTCATGAAGGAGAAAAATGTAAAAATAATTATGCGTTTTTCTGATAGGAAAACAGCACTCTGATACAAATCAATTAAGTAGTAAAACTTCAGGGGTCTTCTTACTATAGTGTGAACATAGGTGCCAAAAAACCTGTGTTCAACAGTTTTGTGGTTGGTTAGGGTTTATTTTACTCAAAATAAAACTGACCTATACATAGTTCTCCTTGAAGAAATGGATTTTTTTCCTGAAATTACTTAATTTTTTACTTATTATACAAGCACTTGGAAAACTGGTGGCTGCAGCCGGGAGTTGGATGGTGCTATAGGACAGGGCTGCTTTGCCCCACTCCCTGACCAAAAAGGACATCAGCACATGGAGCCCTCAGCAGCTCCACAGTGTGGCTGGGCTTGGCCTGAGAACACACATAAGAAGGCACAGAGCGGAAGAGATGATACAAAACTGGGAGGAACTGTTGGCTTGCTTGAAGGTAGAGGCCCTGGAGAGAGGCCTCGATAAATTAAAGGACTGGGTAATCACCAACAGTATGAAATTCAACAATAGAGAGTGCTGGATTCTGCACCTGGGATGGGGCAACCCTGGATGTATGGACAGACTGGGGAATGAGATGCTGGAAAGGGACCTGGGGAACCTGAGTCAGCCCTGGAACCAGGAGGGGCAAGCCTGTCCTGGGAGGCATCAGGCACAGCATCACAGGCGGGCAAGGGAGGGATTGTCCTGCTCTGCTTTGAGCTGGGGCAGCCTCAACTTGAATATTGTGTACAGTTTTGGTCACAACATAAGAAGGATATAAAGCCATTAGAGAGTGTCCAAAGTAGGGTAATGAGGATGGAGAAGGGTAATGAGGGGGAGCCGTATGAGGAGTGGCTGAAGTCACCTGGTCTGTTCAGCCGGGGGGAGACTTAGGGGAGCCCTCATCGCAGTCTAGAACTTCCTCTTGAGGGTGAGAAGAGGCACAAGAATGATCTCTTCTCTGTAGTGATCAGTGCGAGAGAGTGGCCTGAAGTTGTGTCAGGGGAGGTTTAGGTTGGATACCAGTAAAAGGTTCTTTGCCCAGAGAGTGATTGGATACTGCAACAGGGTCCCCAGAGAAGTGGTCACAGCACCTAGCCTGACAGAATTCAGGACGTGTTTGGACAACACTCTCAGGAACGTGATGTGATTCTTGGAGTGCCCTGTGCAGAGCCAGGTGTTGGATTTGGTGATCCTTGTGTGTCCCTTCCAATTCCGCACATTCTGTGATTCTATAAACAGCCGGACCTGCGAAGCATCCCCGGCGCTGGACGCGGACAGCGGGCACGCACGCCGTTCCGGGCCCTAGGAGCCCTGGGCTGGGTGGGACAACCCAGGGCACCGCCCCGTTGTCCCGCCCCGCTGTCCCGCCCGCCGCCTTCCGGGCCGGCCGGCTCCCGCCTGCAGCCGCCGGGATGCTGCTGACCCGGGCGGGCAGTGCCGCGGGCCGGGCCTTGCCACCGCTGGCCGCCCTGTGCCAGGTCCTGCGGCTGGAGCGGAGCCGCCGCACCGCCATCGTGTTCCCGCTGCAGAAGCTGGAGCGGTACCTGGCTCCCGGTACCGACACGGCGCGGTTCCGCCTCTTCCAGCCGGGGCTGGCCGCCCTGCAGCGCGCCGAGGCGCTCTTCAGGTCCGACCGCGGGCACCCCATCGACTGCGTGAGCTCTGCCGTGCGCATGGACCATGTCCCGCCGCTGGCCCTGCCCGAGGTCAGGCGAGCGCTGCCCCCGCGCCCCTCGGCCGGGACCGGGCTGAGCTGCGGGGCTAAAGGGTGGTGGAGTGGTTGTGTAGCTCTGTCAGAACGCTGCGCAATATGTGGGGCACTTACTACTGCTTTTTAAAAGATGGTTTATTTGTTGTTCCCTGTTGTACAACTCGGCAGCCTGCCATGTCCGTGGCACAGGACACCGCTGTCCCCAGCCACTGGCAGCACGGGCTGGGAAATGACCAGGACTGGCTGCAGCGAGAGGTGGGCAGGTGTAGATGTGCCCTTTTTGCGTCTCCCCCTGCAGGTGTGCTTCATCGGCCGAAGCAATGTGGGGAAATCATCTTTAATCCGGGCCTTGTTTTCACTGGCTCCAGAAGTGGAAGTCAGAGTGTCAAAAACTCCGGTGAGTGATGTTTTTAACTTCCCTCCATTTGGGTCATAAGCTGGTACCAGTCCAGAGGATAGGGCTGAGAAGGGTGGGAGGGAACAAGCTCTTCAGTAGCCTGAAATGATAGAGAGTGCCTGCTCTGGTTGCCATCCTCATGGATTGGCCTTGCTCTAGCCCAGGAGGAGGCAGAAGGAGCCCTAGTCTTCAGGCAGGGGAAGGAGCTGCACAACCTGAGCAAGTGTGCTTTAAAGCCCTTTGAGAAGAACCAAGTTCAGAGCTCCACTAAGGTATTTTTAGTTTGTTTTATGGATAGAGCCATTCAGGATTGATACATGGGTAGGCAGAGACTGGGCAGTTCAAAGCATTCTGGGAGGGCAGGAGTCTAGCATAGCAATATTTTGCAGAGCATCTCCTAGTACACTGCTTGAAGCAGCTGTTTTAACAACCATCCCTGTGCTTCATCTTGCCTAAATCCTCTCTTCAGGGCCACACCAAGAAGATTAATTTCTTCAAAGCAGGGAAGTACTTTACTCTGGTGGATATGCCAGGATACGGCTATCGTGCCCCGCGAGACTTTGTTGAGATGGTGGAGGCCTATCTGCAGGAGCGGCGCAAGTAAGGGACCCACCTGTACCTCACAGCACAGGGAGAGCCAGATAGACACCCTATACGGTGTCATGTAATGAGGGGAGAAAATGCAGAGGGGTAGTTCCTTCCATACATTAGTTCTGACATAATTTCCCTGGAAGCTTCTGCAGTGTCACTCATTCATGCTCAGACAGATCAAAACAGCAGGAAAGATTGAGGTGCTGCTCCATGCTGACCCTCAGTTTTCATGCATGGCTTTCCTTGGCTCTTCCCATCCCCAGACCCCATATTACTTGTTTTTGCTTATGAATTTGCAAGCAGCAGAGCAGGCGTGAAATAATGGTGACAATTACTGTTGCTTATATTTCTGGCAGCTTGAAGAGGACTTTCCTATTAATTGACGGTGTAGTTGGACTTCAGAAAACAGACCACATTGCAATAGAGATGCTGGAAGAGTTTGGGATTCCTTATGTGGTAGGCAATGCTTCATTCTTGGGTTG